AATAAACATCAGTCATGAGTCACTTTTCCTGATCTTCAGTATTATGTTGTTTTCTTCATATTTCTTCCTTGACTTCCTGGGATTTTAATGATCTTGCTATTAATATACAATCCCTATAACAATGCCTTGTATGTCTAAATACCCAATGAGTGTTAGCTGTTATGATCATCACCATTATAAAATTATTTTAGAAGCAATGTGTAGCTTAGTCGTGGTAGAACATGTGCTTACAGTGCACAGACCCTCGGCTGGACCACTACTAGCATCTCCCACCACCGAAAGGCAGTCAATGAAAACCTACTGAGACTTTAAAACAAAAACAAGAAACTTCCTCCATTTATCTTTGTGTCTTTGAAGGAAAACAAAAATAAGTACACTTGAAATACGTGAATTATAACAACAATAATTTTACCAGTATCCAAGTGCTGATTTTAGGATATTTCTTCCCTCTCTGTCGGCTTCTCTGTTGCAACCCTAAAAGTGTTTAATCTGTAGAAAAGAAATCACATCTACCTGTGAAGATTAAAAAACATTCTTGAATTTAGAAAAAAGAAAGTCCTTTCCTTTCTGGGTGTAAAATCTACACATCTGAGACTTTGGGCTTCTTAGATCCTTTGGTGCATGGACCAAACCATCTATCAACCCTACCATGAGACAAGCTTTAAATATCATCTGCTCTTTCATGCAAATGCCATATTAATAACTCAGTAAAATTCAGTTTCCATGTAGCTGTTTCAGTAGTACTGGGACATGAGAAAAGTAGTACATATGATCTAATGAGGCTGGTGATTAAAAGAAGCAAGAAATCTTCAACAGAAACACTGTCTGCCAGCAAACTGTATCAGTGATGTTAAAGAAGAAACCACAAATTCAACAATAAATATTTATTGTGTGCTTGTTATATTATGAGACATTATTCTAGGCATTGAGGATATAACAGTAAGTGCTTGCTCTCAATGCAGTTTGTATTCTCAAAACATTTTATGGCAGATGGCAATGAATACTTTGGAAAAGAAGAAAAAGGGCCAGGGATACAGCTCACCAGGGCTGGAGTGGGTGGAGTGCTGCTATTCCATCTGCAGTGGCCACAGGAGCCCCATGCCTCACATGCATCATTTGAGTAGAGTCCTGAAGGAAATAAAGGAGGAGGCATTCAGAGAACTGAGTAGAAAGTCTCATAGGCAAAGACCGCAGTGAAGGTGAGGCAGGAGGAAAGCTATGTTTGTTAAGTGTCCAAGGAACCTGTAAGAGGCCCATGTGTGACCTTGAAACACAGCTGGATCAAGCAGGGGCTGGACAAGCCTCCAGGAGTCTCCGATTTTACTGAGTGAGATAAGAGCTTACTAGAGAGTTTGGTACCAGGCGGGACCAGGTTTGACTTTCACTGGAACAGAGTCACAGTGGCTGGCTATTCTGTAGAGACAGTGAGAAGGAGGCCAAGAAGTGGGGAGAGCAGTTGCTTCTGTGCTTGCAGTAATTCAGCCAAGATGTGACTTTGACTTGTCCCAGGATGGTGGCAGAGGACATGGCAAGAAGTGAGAGCTTCTGGACATCTGTTGCCAACAGATTTGCTGGTGGGATCCATGAGGGTTTAAAAATAATTGTTGAGGGCTGGGGATTTAGCTCAGTGGCACTGTGCCTGCCTCACAAGCTCAAGGTCCCAAGTTCAATCCCTGGTACACCCACCCCCAAAAAAATGTTGAAAACTGGGTATGGTGGTGCATGCCTGTAATCCTAGTACTTGGGAGGCTGAGGAAGGAGAATCGCCATGAGTTTGAGGTTAGCCTAGATATGTAGTGAATCTGAGGCCAGCCTGAACTGCATAGTGAGACTCTGTCTCAAAAATAATAATAACTGTTGAGAGCAATTGCAATCTACTAGAGTGGTGAGTCTTCACAAAGTGAATGAACAGCTTACAAATATTTCTGCAAAGAAATTGTGAACCAAGGATAAGACCAATAATAACAAATATAAGTGAGCATCCAAGAAATGGCAAAAGGAACACTTTTTCTACTTCCATAAAACTGCAGCTGTCAAGAAAATTACACAGAGATACCCACTATTGCTAGCAGTGAGCCTTATCCAAGTAAATATTGTTCTGCCACCTTCTTAACCAATGATTGAAGCTATACTGCTTGAGAAAACATGTTACCATAATTTTTTAAATAAGCATAAGGAATTTTAGTAACTGAAGTAACACTAAAACTGTATTTAAAATACTCGTAACAATTTTAGGATTTTGTTTTGGGTCTTTTGTTTGTTTTGGGTGGGTTGGGGGAGTTTGGTAGTGGTGTGGCGGATCAAACCTAGGGCCAGAGCCATAATGCTGAACTGCATCCCTAGCCCCTAAAACTGCTTTTAGTGTATGCTTTGTAGTATGTGTGTATGTGTGTGCATGTGCATGCGCACATTTGTGTGCTTGTGTGTGTGTGTGTGTGTGTGTGTGTGTGTGCATGGAGAGGGGAAAGAACTAATGTATAAACAGAAATGCACAAAATACAAGCATTCTCAGTTGATGGTCAAGAGTCATGCTTTTAACACCATGGAGGTGTCAAAGTCTAGCAGAAACAACATAAAGAAGACTTTAATACTGGGATTAATGGGAATTTAATGGGTTTGAGGAGAAAAGGGAGCAAGAAACTGACATGAAGATATGAATTCACTTTGCCTCTGTGTAATGCTTTCAGTTAGCAAGGGTTTTACAGATAGGATCTGAGTCCATCCTCATATCCTCCCTCTGAAGTAGAGTCAGGAAAGACAATTCTTCTTTTCACAGTGATTGAATTGAGACTTATGATACTCTCTAGAGTTTATTCAGAAGGAAAGTGATAGAGCCAGGCTTCATATTAAGGCTCCTGGCTCCACAGACAATTCTCCCTTAACACACTGAATAACTACGCTTGACAAAGTAAGCACTTAATGTTAGCTAAGCATGTACTAGGTGGTGTGTTGGCATCCAAAAGAGTTACTCTCTTGGTTCCCATGGACACCTACCTCCATGTGGGCCTAGACAGATAAAACAGGGACAGGGATGTAGCTCAGTGGCATCACTGCCTGCCTCACAAACACAAGGTCCTGAATTCAATCCCCAGTACCCACAAAAAGAGAGAGAGTGAGAGTGATAAAACAAATGCCTGTGAAATTATTCCTTAAATTTACAAAGCAATGTATCTGTAAAAGTGAAATAATAAATTTAATCCATAAGGATTCTGGGGGCAAAGAGTAAAAAATACAGCAGGGTTACCAGGTGCTGTGCTAGAGCTTCAGCTGTAAGAGGTTCCCATCCCAACTCAAGCCAATTTAATAAAAAAGGAAATGCTCTGGCTCACAGACCTGATAACTACAGGCTTGCAGGGCACAAACAGCATCTCTGAGAATCCATGTCTTTCCGTCTCTCAACACTTGGTTTCTGGGCCTTACCTTTTCTTTCTCAGTTATGAAGATGGAACCCATAGCCTCATGTATGGTAGGCAAGCTCTCTACCACAGCCCCTCTCTGCCTTCCTTTCACTCATTTTCAGGCATGCTGTCACCAGGTGTTGGTAATCAAACCCCAGTAGTTCCTGAATGAATTCCACAAGTTCAGCCTACACAGTGGAATAAAAGCCATCTCTTTCAATAAATAAATAAATAAAAGCATCTCTTTCCTAAAGGCACTAGCAAATAGGGCTTTCCTTAGCTTAGTATTTTTGCCAAACACTGAGCCAAACACTATGAGGAGTGGGGTGCTATGCTGTGATTGGCCAGTCTTCTGTCACGTGTCCACTCCTGGGTGGAGGTGCAGATCCACAAGGGTCTGGATTGAATAGGAAAGTGATTTTCCAGAGGGAAATAGAAGTGTCTTCACTGGAAGTGAGAGTGACAGTCAGAGGGCAAAGCAACAGAGATTCATTACACTGAGGAGATTTTTATCTTTACAATAGGATAAGACTCCTAAAGGAGATAATTCTGTTCCCAGATTTAAAGGATTATTTGAGTTTATGGAATTCTGTTGTAGTAAGTGCAGGAGTTTCATGAAATGTAGAAATGCAGAACTCTACATAACATGATTTGAGTTTTTAACACTTAGCTTTTCCTTTCCTTTCAATTTTAAAGACACTGTCACTTCATACAGGGATGACCTGAACAGAGACTCATGATCTCTTTATTTATGCTTTTCTTGGCCTCCACCCTCCTGAAGATAGCTGCTCTTATCTCTGGAACCTCAAAGACATCCTTTCAAAACTTTCCCCAGCCATCCCATGCTTTTTGTGGTGCTCCCCTTTTAAAGGCTGCCACTAAGAGTTGAAGCGGAGCTCAGGGACGGTATTTGTCCAGCTTGCAGGAAGCTTTGGGTTTTATACCCAGTGCTCCTCCCCACAAACTAAGAACGTAGAGACTGTTGTCAGCACTCCCACTTCCCTGGGCTCCCCAGGTTTGCCCCTGTCCTCTTTCAAAGTTTGCATTTTTCTCCTCTCCACAGAGGCTTGCAACTTTCCCTTTAAAAAGGCCTCCTCACTCTATTTATTGCACGTCAACAGTTCCTTACCCAGGTTCTTATCCCTGTCCCCCACCATCCTCCAGCCCCTTTGACCTCTGGTTCGACTTTGCATTCTGGAGCCTAGTCACACATTGCAAAGTCTCCTCAATGGCCTTTGTCTTTCCCCGCCCCCTTTCCTATAATTCTGGAGTGGAGATGATGGGATTCCCAGAGGAGAGGGTTCACAAAGTGCTCTGAGTGCTCTGATGAAATTGATTAGGTAAATGGAAACTCATTTTTTGTGTAACCACTCTAGCCTGTATGAACAACAAGTTGAATAAATGCAGTGGTTCACCATTTTTGAAATAATGAAAGTCCTTTGTCATTTTACTGTTCTTTGAAGAGAGATTTATTTTCAAGAGCAAAAAGCCAGAGTGCTTGATTTGAAATGTTCAAAAAATAAATACAGGTGCTGTTTGATAGTTTTAAAGCAACACTTTTATTATCAGTAATTGACTTAACATTTTGTTTAATCTTTCTAGCTTCTCTCCTGAAGGGTTTGAAACATGCCAATATCGTGCTCCTGCATGACATAGTTCACACCAAAGAGACACTGACATTCGTTTTTGAATACATGGTGAGTTCTCCAGCATTTTACAACACAGGAGGAAAGAGCCTGGTGTTTGGCTAATGAATCTGTTAATATTTTATGACATGATAAAACTTTCATTACAGTGTGGAAAGTATCATGGCAATCTTCTTTGTTGTGATTAGTGGAGCCTTATTATTGTTATAGTCATCTTTAATCTGCTTCTTACTCATTATTTTTGCTGTTCTTTTTCCCTCTCAGCAATAAGAAACTAAGATTTTGAGTTCACCTCCTAATCAAAAAATTTTTATTTTTTCAAATCTACTTTTAATCGCTATTTGAGACTATAACACTTTTTCAATGATGATAAGGATATGCCATAAAATATTTTAAAACTTTTTACAAAGAATAGATCATTTTGCATTTTTTAAAGGAAAAAAAGGTTCACATGAGCAGAAAGAAACTATAAAGTGTGTGGACTCAACTTGCCTCAAGGAAGGAAAAGTTCCTGTGTTGGATTCACTACCAGTCGTAGAAAGTGAGTCAAGAAACGGACTTCCTTCTATGAGCAGCCAGTTAGAAAGATGTTGTACTACACCTTTACAGTGGAGTCTCAGAAAACCTGGTTATATCCCTTTCCTCCCTTAGTCTTAACACCTACCTCTTCCTGCCTCTGCCATGCTCAGGCCTCTGGTTGGCTGTAAGACACTCTCCAGACCCCTGAATTCACCATCTTCTCTTTCTGCCATACTGTTTAGCACACAGACCTGGCCCAGTATATGTCTCAGCACCCGGGAGGGCTGCATCCTCACAATGTCAGGGTGAGTACCTGAGGGTGGGGCTCCTTCTGCACGGCGCACAGAGGTTTTGAAACAGATTTCCATCACAAAGCCAAGTCCCATGGCACTAAGCAAGAAGACAGGTATCACTGATATTCTAGAGAAATTTTTTTTTAAAAAGTTGTCCTTCCAGTGCTGGAGCAATTGTCAGCTAATTTCTGGGCAGCCTATTCCCTGTCAGTCCTTGTTAGCACACAGATGCGTTTTTAGAGTAGACGCTAATTACAAAGAGTGGTGTTAAAAGGAAAGAAGTGAAGCTAGGGCATCATAAAATAAATACCTACTTCACAGCAGACCACTGCAATTTATGATAAAGTTTGCAGTGCTCGTTCTAGCTGATCTTATTATACATATGGGATAAATTTCATTTTCCTGTCAGTACAACAGAAATAACAATAAACTATGAATTAACTGTACTTCTACATCTGTTCATTTTAGAAACCATTTGCAGTTCATATTTTTCATTGCCTAAGGTTGTATGGCATTAATTAATTGGCTCTTAAAATAACCATATGAGATTTGTATATGGTGTATTTATTCATTTAACTAATATTTATTCATGGATTTGTTTATTCATTCAAGTAATATTTGTTAAATACATATTGCTATATCAATATTAAGTTCTGTGGTTTCAAACTCAGGACCTTGCACTTGTGAGGCAGGCACAGTGCCACTGAGCTAAATCCCTGGCCTTTACATTGTGTTTCTTGTTTTCAACACACTTAAGTGCAATTAGCTATATGGACTTACCAGGGCAGAAGCGAAGCCATGCTAACTGGAAGTACTATGCGAGCACATAATAAAGGGACCTAACCTAGTCTTGGAGTCAAGGGCTTGGAAAGAAAGGTTTGAAGACAAGGAGTTGTGCAAAGTAAAGTAAAAAAGTAAAGTAGCTGTGTGGAGAATGGGGTAAAGAATGAGCTATCGAAACTAGGAAGGACTGGTGAACAGTGTGTTAATTTAAGGACCCTGGTAAAGATAAAGTTCATTAAATTATTTGCATGATCATGGGATTTCTTTATAGTAATACTTAACAGTTCAAATAGAGGAATGGAGAAAAATATTTGGATTGTTTCAGAGGCCAGGACAGTGAATAGAAAGACCAGTTGAGCAAAACAGTTGAAGAGAAGTACAAAGAGAAGTTAAACTGAGTTCAGTTGCTGGTCAGTGGTATTTAAATGTGTTTTACCCCGAAGGTGGGAAGTAAAGACAGGCTGGTCGTTAAGAAAAGGATGAAAAAGTGCAGGAGCTAGAGGAGTGGATTAAATAAAAGAGAAGTGGGGGGTGTGCTAAAAACTGGGACGGACTGAAAGACACAGAAGGCTCAGTTCCTTCACTTGGGAGACTTCCTTGTAAACACAGAAGATAAAAAACATACACCAATGCTCTAACAGGAGATTTGTGAATAATGCTATGTAAGAAATGAGACCTAGTGCTATCGATGTGCAAAGAAGTAAAAGTTATTTTCTTGTTTGAAGAGGTTTTGGACTTAAAAGATGTGCTGCATTGGAAGAGGCTGGAACACCTAGTAGTTGAAGATGGTCCTGAGGGACAGAATGTTCTCAGCAAAGGCGCAGAGAGGAGAGTCAAGGATGCCCCAAGGATGAGGACTGCAGAGTTTTGTGCTCTTAGGGATAGAGGGGCTACATTGTTTTTCAATCTGAAGATTATTAAATCAATTGGTTGGTTAACCAATATTTTTAAATAAAATAAAATGGATGGGACAAGAATAGAAAAAATAGACAGCATGGCACTTAAAGCAAGTATTATTTTGTGCAACTTTTACTCCAGTTGTAACTGTACTTATATGGGTGTACTTATATGTACTTGTATGGGTGTAAACACTGGATATTCATGTGTTTCTAACTATGGATTGCAATCCACAAACCTTTAAAAATCCAGCTAGCCTGACCTCTTTATTGTACAAAGGAGGAACCCAAGATTTAAGAGGATAAATATTTTGCCTGAGCTCATGGATCCAGATTTTACTATTACTAAAACTGATTTCTGGTTAAGATTCTTTCCACTAATGCCATACTGCACTTCTGGATCTGTTGCCCTACAATACAGGGTATACTCACGAAACAATCTAGGGAAACAGATTGGGAAGGTGGCTGAGAGCTTCATTTTTTGGGAATTGTGGACTTTTATTCTTAGTATAGTTACTGTAAGAGCTCAAATTGAGAGAGAACTACATGAAGAAAAGAAGAGATGACTGTGGTCTGTGGGACGGGTTAAAGGGATGAAGAGACTAGAGTCGGGATTCCAGTAAGGATCTTAATGATGTAGTTGAAGCCTGTGCTTTCTCAAGGGTCGGGGATCAAGTGACCAAGGGATCTGATTCAGTAGGTCTGGGGTGAAACCTGAGTTGCTGCATTTCTGACAGGACCCAAAGTGGTGCCAATTCATGGTTGACGAACACACTTTGAGTAGCAGGGATGCAGGTGAGAAGTCACTAAGGCTTAATTTATGGTAGTGATTGAAGAATGGAAGGAGCCAAGTGTGGGAGTGCATGTAATTCAGGTGCCCAGGAAGATGAGGCAGGTTGATTGCAAGTTAGAGGCCAGCCTAGGCAATGTAGCGAGACTCTGTCTCAAAATAAAAAAGCTGGAGATTCAGTTCAGTGGTAGAGCACCCCTGGATTGGATGATCCTCTGTATTATGAAAGAAAGGGAAGAAACGTGAAAAACAGCCATAAAGAAGAATGCACTCAGGGTTCCATGGCTGAGTCTGAGGAAAAGGATGAGACTACACAAGGCTCATTTTGAGCTTGAGCTCGAGTCACCAGGAAAACTACAGTTCTATTGACAAATAGGAGGGGTTGGCTGTGGAGAGGAAGAGGAGGAGTGTGGTTTTAGACAGGCCCAGAGCCTATTGGAGATGACAATCTAAAAAGAAAAGAGCACTGGGCAATTGAGAAGGAGATCTGTGCTCTGGAGAGAGATGTGATCTGGGATGTAGCTCTGAGAGTAACTGGCACACAGGGTTTGCAGTAAAAGATAGGAAAGTAGATAACCATAACCGTAAGCAGCAGGAAGAGGATTCTGATAGAACATTTGCCTGTCGGGGATGAGACATAGGGGTCAGAGCACAAAGGGCCATCTATGTTGTGCTGTTTCACATGGAGACCCATTAAATGGTCTTATGGAAAGAGGAATAAACCCAGATTTTCTGTTTTGTAATCCTCGCTCTGACAACAATGTGGCAAATATATCGAAAGAAGAAAAATACTCTTTTGTAAAATCTTAAATTCTCCAGACCCAATATTCTGCTCATTCCCATGGCCCTACCCTCCCTCACATAGTAAATGGATTTCTCTTCCTCTGCTCATTCCCCAACTGCTGGTGCCTCTTACATTCTGGGCTTGAAACTGAAACTAACAGTGGCACAGATATGAGGAGATGACAGAGGAAAGCAGATAGGTGTGTTATGAATTACTGAGCCAGAATCGATGGGTAAAGAAAGAGTCAGCAGGAATTTTTATGGCTTGTTTGTTTGATTGTTTGTTTTGAGACAGGGTCTCACTATGTAGTTCAGGCTGGCCTTGAACTCACTAGTAGCCCAGGCTGGCCTCAAAGTCATTGTGATCATCCTACCTCTGTGTCCTGAGTACTGGAATGGTATGGGCTACCAAACCTGGATTTTATCACTTTTAAAAGATGGATGGTGGTGCTATTCATTGAGATAGAGGAACAGGAAGAAGGTAGATTTTGGAAGTGTATAGTGAAATTATGCTGAGTGAGGTGACTAGAGGATATCCAGGTGAAATTTTGACCATGTAAGTCTAAAGGTCAGAAAAGACCTCTGAATCAGAGATAAAGATTTTGAAATGATCAGAATATAATGGTTCCTTGAAGCCATGCCAGTAGTTAAGATGCTAAGGGAGCATATGTCCTAGAGTGGCAAGAGAAGGTCATGAATATAGTCCTAAGGTATAGCAATACATTACACAGCAGTAGAAGTGGTGGAACCTATAAAAAGAACAGCCAGAGAGGTAGGAGTAAAATTAGCTGGTCTGTGGAATTGCTGGGGGAGCAGGGGTGAGGTAAAGGGAGAGAAGAGAGAGCCCTTGGGAAAGAAAACATGGTAAACAATCTCAAGTGCTAAAAAGATAACAAGATGTATCTATTGGATTTCACAGCAAAAGGCCTTGGTGACCCCAGTAAAAACATTTATGAATAAAGTGGCCATCACAGCAGCCTTTTAATAAGGAGATGACTTTAACACTTCAGAGGACAAACAGCTCCATATGATAGCAAATCTAGCTTATGACCGTGGCAGTTTGTGGCTGCAGTGATTTGGAGCAGCCGATCATGAGCACTGAGAAGGTGGCCTAGATTCATTCTCAGGGGCACTGATTTTGTGAGGCCACGGCTGTGATCCAGATGCCCAAGTCTTTGGTGAATGATGGAAAGTGACCAGGAGTTCAGTAGATGAGTAGAAAGAAGAGCAAAGAAAGATATAGCAAGATGGTATGAAAATGCAAAGAATACCAAAATTAACAGCAGAGAAGTAATTCTTTTGAAGTGGTATTGGGGAAGGAGAGGCAGCATGTCCCACCTTTCAGTGGTGAAAGTTATGAAGAGGTTGTAGAAAAACACACAAACTTGGGAATGCTGTGGGGACGGAGAGAATTCACATCTCAGCCAAAGAAACGGAGCCAGAAGGAAATCCATCAGGAGTGGCGGAGGTGTGAATCGGTGGTAGAACACTTTCCTGACATGCACAAGGTCCTGAGTTCAATCCCCAGTGCTACAGCAAGAAAAGAAAACTCCCCAGTGTTTAGCCTTTGGGGAGTTTGAAACCTGGATTGAGGAAAGACAGTGAAGAATGAAAAGGATTGGGAGAACCAGGCAGAGTGACATAGGCCTGTAATTACATCACTAAGGAAGCTGAGGCAGGAGGATCACAAGGTTAAGACCACTTAGTAAGGCCCTTACTGTCTCAAAACAAAATTTTTAAAATAGCTAAAGGGCTTGGGATGCAGTGGTAGAACATTTATCTGGCATGCTCAAGGCCCAGGGCTTCAATCCCTAGTGGTATAGGAGGTAAAGTTTGAGAGAGAAAATAGCAATAGATACTGCGTTCAATGAGAAGTACAGAGGAGTGTGGAGATGGGTTTGTGGGAGAAAAATAATACTTAGTGACCCAAGTATTAAAAGTAATACTTAGTCCAACGCAATCATTGTGTTTCTGCCAAACCTTACTGTGTTAGAAATAGGTGTAATCCTGGGGTATGGGAAGCCTCCCCAGTCACCCATGGCCTAGCTTGACATTTGATCTTAGACAAAAGTCTGTGAAGTGATAAAAGTCAGTCATTTCGTTCTATTTTGTTTTGTTTTGGTTGGTTGGTTGGCTGTGAACTCACAACCTCATGCTTCCCCAGTAGGCACTGTGCTGCTGAGCTAAATCCCCAACCTGGCCTGGCTTGATATTGACTGCGAAAACACCATCAGATTTGGCTATATTATGATGGAGTAATTATTAAAGGAAGAATCCAGGTTATCCAGGATGAAAGAATGGGTGGGTGGCAAGGTTAGCCAGCATAGCCTGCACTTTGAAGACACAGCTCTGACCACCATCCCTTATCATTGCAGGGCTGTGCCATTTACAAAGACTCCCATGGGCCAGGGATTTAGCTCAGGGCCAGGGATTTAGCTCAGTGTTGCTGCCGCCTGCCTCCCAAGCACAAGGTCCCAAATTTAATCCCAGGTACCCCCCCAAAAAAAACAAAACAAAAAAACACCACAATTCCAGACACCCAAGAGCAGAGAGGAAAGGAAGGGCAGCAAGAAGATGGGATGTGGGACTGATTCTTAGGGAGAATGGTCCATACTTAGGACATGAATGGTGTATCTCAGGCCATCTCTAGCCCACTAGGAAGCTGTGTCTCTGACTCAACCAGCCACCTCTCTCCTTCCTGTCACATTGTAATTTGCTCTTTTCTCCAGTTTCTCAGGAGAGTGCAGTGGAATCATACAGGTATAAATTTGAGCCTCTCAATGTACTGCGGTTGCAGGCATGAGCCACCACACCCTTCCTAGGTGTATTTTTAAAGTTTCCTTGAGCCCTGGTTTTCAAATCTGTAAATTAAGGGCAAGTTACCATCCAAAGACTATACCCCTTACTTATCACCATCTTCTTTCTGCTGTCCCTCATGCGCCTGTACCTCCCTCTTTCCTTCTCTTTGAAAAGCATTTTTAACCACATACTATGGTATGTTGCCTAGAATTAAACTTAGTTCTTTATATTATTTTTTTCTGTGAACATGTATACTTATAACTAACTGAAAAGTTCAAATGCAGGAGAATTTTGTGTTTAGGTAGCTTAGTGGTTTGGTGAATGGCAAAATGATAGTGTACATGTTGAAGCACCAAGAAAAGTAAGTTTTGGGAAGATTCAGAGGACTAGTAAACATTTGAAAGAGGAGTCATAAATTTCTAACAAGGGCTGGGAATGTAGCTCAGTGGCAGAGTGCTTATTTAGCATTCTTGAGGACCTGGGCTTGATCCCCAGAACACACACAAAGAACTCTAATTTTAAATGGCCTGTGAAGCTCCCGTGGTTGCTACTTGGAACTACGCAGCATGTCAGAGATGCTGTGCTGCATAAACTCCTCAGGTTCCTGCTTTGGTCGTGCTATGCTGCTCATTAACTTGCCTCCCATGTCTTCCTGTCATTCTGAGGTCAGTACTGGTCCTAGCAGCTCTGACGTTCCTAATTTCCAAGAGGTCACCAAAAAGCACATTTATCCACACAGCTCTACATCTGGCATTTTACCCACATCCCCAGAAATGCTGGGCCTGACCATTTCTTTTCTAAACTGCCAGAACATATTCTAAGGTGGCATAGGTTTTTGTAAATACTAACATTGGTGTTTGAATTCTCTGTTGCCAGTAGCACTGGAAAAATAGCAAGATATATTTAGGATGCTAAGCATTCTTTTTTTCCTCTTAAGCTTCCCTATTAGTGGGAGCCTAGTAAAACCTTTGGTTTCTATGTTTCACATCCACATGAAACACTTTAAACTTGGGGGTTTTAATGTATCCCCCCCCTGTTACTACCACTCTTTCTTCTCCATACTATTTTTTCATTATTCTCTTCTGGGGTTTTGTTTTGTAGGGGGCCTAATTTCCTTTGGTCTTTCTTCCTTCTTTTTTTTTTCAAAGTTTATTAGTAAATTTTAGGTATACAGTACAGTTACATTTATTATTGGGATCTTGTACCTTTACATGACAGATCTTGGTTCTCATTTTTCCCCACTCTTTCTTCCTTTTTAATCAATACTATGTACTTTTATTGTTTACAGTTTAGAATTTAAGACTTTAAACATAATTTTTAAAGACTTATTTCCCAATACCATCTAAGGATGTATTTCCCAGTTGAGTTCTTTGTATTGTGTTTTTAAAAGACTTCATATCAGCAAGTCTGGAAAGCTTAAGCAGTTGTGAGCTTCAGAATATCATTTCCAGGTCAACTCTGATCTTCTATGCCAAGTTCATTGGTGGGGAGAAATATTTTTCACAACTAAACCAGTAACTAGTGTTCCAAGGGGAATTTCAAAGTTTCCCTTTAGATTTAATTTAATTAACTTTGCTGGTACATTTTAGGTATACATTATGATCACATTCATCATTAGGAATTTGTACCTGTAAAAACCTTGTTTTTGTTTTTTTTTTTTCAATCCCCCTTCCCTCCCTTCCAGCTCTCCACCCCTCCCTTTAGATTTTTAAAGAAAGGTAATTCTTTCAGTATCAAAGAAATGTGATGTCAAAAAAAGCCAGAATCCCTTTGTTTAGGATGTAATCTAGTTACTTAATTTTTCTGGTCCTTTTTCTTTCTCTCCTTCTGAATGAATGAATGTAAAATCCTTTTTTTTTTTTTTTTTTGGTTTCTCAAGACACACTTTCACTACATTCTTTCAGGTGACTATTTTTTATTTAGAGGCAAAAATCAACACTTAGTGGCTTAAATGTCCTTCATATGCTGTTCATTCCTTCCAGCTTTTCATGTTTCAACTTTTGCGGGGCCTGGCATACATCCACCACCAACATGTTCTTCACAGGGACCTGAAACCTCAGAACCTGCTCATCAGTCACCTGGGAGAGCTCAAACTGGCTGATTTCGGTAAGCCGCCTCCTGCACCTCCTTCAAGGCTGTGAACAGTGCTTCTTTGTGTGCACTCTTTAAAACATTGATGAGGCTTGGCCTTTGAAAACTGGGACCCAGAACGTGATGCTCTGTGAGAATATCAAACTGCCTCACAGGAAATGTGAGGCAAGAAAGAGGGAAAAAGTGGCTGTTCCTTAGGATTCCCTCAAGCTCCAGTCTAGCCAGATGCACAAAACTTAGGCACTCCCCTATTGCTTCACTGCCATTTTTGATAGATAGATATTTGTAGACTGCAGGTTTCCCCACATCTGAGAGGACATTACAAATTCTGTCAGAATCAATTAAGGTTGTTCCAGGATGGCAAGATAAAGAGATTAACCCCAGACTATAGCATGGACAGCTATAGGAATGCATACTTGTTCTTGTTTGCCTAAGTATGTAAATGTAACTGTATTCCCAAGAAAGTAGCATAGATTTCCTGTATCACTTTATCTTTCCCTTTTAGCACTTAATAATCACAGTTTATATTATATTCACATACAAACATACATTTGATACACACAAATATTTCATGCACACACACAAACATGCATACAGTATATATATACATATATACATAATATATACACTTGTGTATCTATATGAATACATATGTATATGATTTTTTTCTCCTCTGCTAGACTTGAAGCAATATAAGGGTAGCTGTGGGCTTTTGCTTATTATTGTTTCCCTAATTCCTGACATCATAGTTCAACAGATGCTTGTTGGCACATGCCAAATGTGATTCTATAGCTCTGGGACTTTATTCTGAGGCAGTAAGCATTTAACAGACATTCATCTGACAATTCTTCACAACAGTGATCTCCTCTGTGATGGCTTTTCACAACTATAGAGGCTGTGATTCTGTGAGAATCACAGCTAGCTGACAAGTCACACTCATTTGGCAGAGGAGGACCAGAGAATCGTCTCAGGTTCTATTAAACTAATTTGTTTTCTGGTTTGGGGGGCTTTTTGGTTTTTTTGTTTTGTTTTGTTTTGTTTGTTTTAGGTTTGGTACTGGGGATCAAACTCAGGACCTTGCACTTGTGAGGCTGGTGCAGTATCACTGAGCTATATCCCCTGCCCTAAACTAACTAATTGGGATAAGCAGTAACACCCTTTATTTACTATAAGAGGGGTTCCTGAACTGTGAAAGTGGAGAGCAGACATATTAGTGCTGCATTGGGTTTGCTCAGTTGCTGTTACAGAGATCCCTAATGATAAAGGTATAACACACTGGAAGCTTAACATTTCTCCCACACCATTTCTGACCCAAATAGTCAGAGCTTGTGTGGTGGCCCTGTGCTATCTTCACACAGGCTTCATCTGTCATGTTGCCCCATAATGCCAAGGATATTTTCCTAATTATATATTCATGATGGTTGCTACTTCCTGTGCATCACAGCTCAGAGGAAGCAGAAAGGGGAAGCAGGACTCCTCCATTAATGTGTGACCTAGAAGGTCATATTTTATCTTTATTCATATCATACAGGCAAGAACTTAGTCGCCTAACCACACTTAGCACCAAGAAGGCCACATCTAGCTACAATGCTGGTCAAAACTGGAGAAATCCTCTTGATGAACTGATATACAGGGTTAAGATCGTTGAGTGGCTCTACTGAGAGCATTCAAAATTTGTGTGGTACTTTTAGATGTTAGTGTGTAACTCTGCTAGTTACACACCACCTGCTATAGCACATTCCTGTACCTCCCAGGAAGGTCTATGACAATGGGGTCTGTGCTTTTCCCTCTTGGGCAGGTCTTGCTCGGGCCAAATCCATCCCCAGCCAGACATACTCTTCAGAAGTTGTAACCCTCTGGTACCGGCCGCCTGATGCTTTGCTGGGAGCCACTGCATATTCCTCTGAGCTGGACATATGGTAAGAACAAGTGCCAAGAAAGTGAAGAAAATGTGAGTTATCCTACCTATAAGGGTTGCTTATTATCTGCATTACATTTTTAACAATAAAGATAATCACTCACATTTATATATAGAAACTTAAGATGCTTCCAGATGCACATCCGATTTGATTTTTGTAATCAATCTGTGAGTTTTTACAGTTAAAGAAACCAAGCTCCCGAGAAGTCCTGCCCCAGTCATCTTCGGCGTCCAGTGTTTTTTCTGCCGTGCTCATCTTCCTGGCTCCTCGCTTCAGTACTTTGTCTCACCTTCGCCTCCGAGAAACACACATGCACTCCCAAACAGCAGAAATATATGCATATTCAACCACACCACACACTCACATGTGCTTAAACACTGTGCAGAGCCTGGAGAAAAGGGATAAAGACCAAGATTCAGGAAACCCAATTTTCAGGCCAATTCTATTTTTAATTGATTATCCTGGATTCTGTCATCTTGAAAAAAATCATGGGGTTGGGGATGTAGCTGAGTGGTAGAGCACTTGCCTGGCATCCACGAAGCCCTGGGTTCAATCCACAGTGCCCACACACACACACTCACACTTGTATAATTCTTTTTGTGTCTGTTTCTCCATTCTTAAAATGAGGGTAATGAGGGTAATCTATCCCACCAGGCATAAATGGGACAGTAAAGAAAATATAATAACCAGATATGTATCTATCAAGTAGAACCACATATTTGGGGAGGTTCTCAGGTTAATGGGATACAAAAGTGCACACGGGACCTCAGGCATTCGTCATTGTAGAACAGCAGTGTTGTCTTACCTGGGTCTTACTTCTGGAGCTTTCCAGTCATTTAGAGGCCCACAGTTGGATATGTGATGACTTTATAGACATCGCTAAATCCTCAAAGGTGATGGAATACATGAACCTGTTTTAAGGCCTTAGAAGACAGGCTCTGTTCCTAAAAATCAATAATAGATTTTTTAAAAACTAAACAGTGCTCTAAAAGGCTAACCTAAGCTTTTAGATTTCCCAAAGAATTAAAAAGGTTGCAGAAATTTTCCTTCGGTGTGTCTAGAATCATGAGTTTCTGATACCCAGAACCACTTCTGGAAATATCACCTGCCAGCCAACTCCACCTGAAACCATAGAGCCCTCATTTTGCTGTCACTTCAAAGGCATGTGCAGGCTTAGGCATGCTCTGCTCTTAATGATGTCTTCCCTCCGTGTTTCCCAGGCAGAGAGTGGAACTTCTGCCCATCAGTTTTAAACTTTGTTTTATTATAAATATTTAAAACATTCAAGAATATATATAATATATATGTGGATCAGTGATTCTCAACCCAGGGCAAATTTTCCCCCCAGGGGATGTTTTCCAATGTCTGCAGACATTATTCATTGTCTGGTTATGTGTATGGGGGAAGCAGGTGCCACTGGCATCTAATGGGTAAAAACCAGGGATGCTACTCAGAGTCCTGCAGTGCAAAAGACAGCTTCTTCAACAAAGATCGATCTAGCCCAAAATGTTATAGTGTCAAGACTGAAAAGTGATACACATTAAGAAACATAATAAAGTGAATTCCATGAGCCCTTCAAAATAACAAGTCAGGGTGACCGTACTGATGATTGTGTTCTATCTGTGAACATAATCAGTATAGTCACACTGACTTGTGTATTTTCCATCAACCTGCCCCTCCACTAGAGGGCTTCTACCTGAATTTTATTTTATTTTATTTTTTGGTCCTATCTCCTTTTAAAATAGTATTTTCACCTTTATATAGTCTAAATATATTCTATATATACAATTTATATACTCTAAATATATTCTAAAATATATTATTTTGTTTTGCCTGCTTTTCACCTTATGAAATTGGCATTATATTGTGCTTGGTCTTCTGTGATTTGCTTTCTCTTCATGCAATATGTTTCTAAGATTTGTCCTTGTTGATCTATGAATCTACACTTTATTTCCTGCTGCTAAATATTTTTATTATTTACTTTGTTTTCTATTTCATTTATTCTTGCTATTTTGAACAGAATCATTATTTATTTTTAAGGACCTCTGGGATACTAACCAAGGAATAGGACTCTAGTACCATGTCCTAGAGTGTGTGAATATTCAACTTCATAAAATGTACTGGATTGGGCCAGGGATTTAACTCAGTGGTTCTGCCACCTGCCTCACAAGTGCAAGGTCCTGAGTTCGATTCCTAGTACCCCCCAAAAAAGAAAATAAAATATACTGGGTTGTGTTTTCCAAAGTGGTTGTAACAGTTAATACAACAGCAGGGTATCAAAGCCCCTCATCTACACCAATTTCATATCAGAATTCTTAATCTTTGTCAAGCAATTGTGTAAAATGGCATCATATCGTGATCTAAATTTGCATTTCCTTGATTACTCTAAAGTTGGCCATCTTTGCATGGATTATGTTTTCAGTGCTTACTTGTCTTTTGTTCATTTTCTGTTGGTCTCTGTCTTTGTCTTCCTCCCCATTTTTTTTTTGATTGATAGGAATTCTTCATGTATTCTGAATAGTCATTTTTATCAGTTATGTCTGTTGCAAGTAGTCTCTCCCAATTCAAGGCTTATGTTTTCATATACTGATGTTATCCTTTTGAACAAATCTTTTCTTATATAGTTAACTTTTTCTGTTTCTTGTTTTAAAAATCTTCACTTCTTGTCTTAAACCTCTTACATATCAGGTTTTTGTAAAAGTCTGTTTCTGCACTTTCCATTTTGCTCCACTGGAATCAATTTATTTGTCACCAGTTTATTTGCAGCAATTTATCTGTACCAGTACCACATTTTATTAATTCCCATAGATATAGCTATGCAACAACTGATAGTTTGTAGGACAAGTCTCTCCACACACTTCATCTTCTTCTGCAAGATTGTAATGAAGCCAGGCAAAGTGGTGAACATCTGTAATTCTAGTTACTCAGGAGGCTGAGGCAAGAGGATCACAAGTTAGAGGCCAGCCTGGGCAACTTAGTGGGACTCTGTCTCAAAAATTAAAAAAGGCTGGAAATGTAGCTCAGTGCAGAGGTCCTGAATTCAATCCCCAGTACCATAAATGAACAACAACAACAAAACAAATAATAAAAAGCTGGAGTTGTGGCTCAGCACTAGAGTACTAGTGTAACATGCCTGAGAACTTGGATTCATCCCCCCCCCAAAAAAAAAAAGATGCACTGACTTATTTTTTCTTAAAAGTTTTCATATAAATTATAGATTCAGTGTTTCAAGTTTCATGAAAATTCCTAATGGTATTTTCAAAAGAATTTATAGAATACTTTGAGAATAATTAACATGTCTATAATATTGTCCTTCAATTTTTGAACATGACATGTCTTTCCATCTGTTTAGTACTTTAGTTTTTTCAGGTAAATTTTTTTATATTTTTTGTCTGAGGTCTTACACATTTAGAAACAAAGATTCTTATGTCTAATCTATTTTTACTTATTTATTTTGGTTCTTGCTTATGGTGTTCTTTTTTCCTATGTATGTCTAGTTGTTTTTAACAGTGATGTATTAATTTGCTTTGGAATTTTCTTTTGGGGGTTTCTTTAAAAACTGAAATATGATGATGGGTACTCTCAGAGAGATTTGTATTTGCTGATGTTGAGTATGTTTTTAAAGAAATTTATTAATGTATTTTATCCAAGTGTTGGTCTACTACCTAGATCTTGATTTCTTTATACCATTGTTTACTGAAAAGAGAAATGGTTGGTTCTAAAGACAAGACAGGGAAATTACAAGAGTAACCTGGAAGATCTTTGAGGACCATAAAATTTTCTTACAAAATGAACCAGAAAGGATGCAAATATGTCAAAGACTTGGAAAGCAGTTCGAAAAGGCTTCCACTAACCAGATTTGGGACAATTTGAGAGTCAAAGTAAATATTAGAGTATGGGTTTTAATCTAAAATAAGAACATGTAAATCCTAAAATAAGAATACATAAATCCATACTGAAGATAGCTAGCTAGCCAGTTAGACAAATAAGGAGGAAGCAAATCTCCTCCGTGCATTAGAATACTAACTTATAATTGGCCAGAAAACAATGGGTTGGAAAACCCACTATTTTATAACCAGTATCATGTGGGAATCCAAGAGACTGGAGAGACCTATGGACTGAAACAAGAGCACTTTATTTCAGGTTTAAGGTGTACACTGGCTCAACAGACTCTGTCCAGAGGAAGAGCACTAAACAAAGAGAAGCTCCAGCTTTAAATGCATTTTGTTGAAAGGGGTGGTTTTTCTAGTGACATAGCAAGTGAGTTTACTGGAACTGGACAAGGGCAGGCAGTTTTGTAACTTTGCTTTGAAAGAAGACTGTGTCTTATGAGTCATATGAGAATTAGAGTGCCATAACCTTTGTTTACAAGACATAGTTGTCAGTTGTATCTGTACCAGAACAGAGTTACAGCTACAGGGGAGAGGAATGATGGGGGACAGGAAACTGCCCAAGGCTGGGAAGGATTTGTTTTTCTTTAAATCCTGCTTCAAATATGGTAGTAATCCATTCAAACAAGAATCATGGACGCTGGCACACACCTGTGATCCCAGTTTCTTGGGAAACTGAGGCAGGAAGATGGAGAAATCAAGGTCAGACTAGGCAACTTAGCAAAACCCTGTCTCAAAAGGAAAAATAAAAAAGATTGCGAATGTAACTCAGTGATGGGGTGGTGCTGGGTTCAATCCCTAGTACCAGAAAAAGAAAATCATGCATTCCAGTCTACAGGGGAAAGTTTGACGAGGAATAAGTCATGTACAAAGTCTTAAAGTACCTCTTCACAAATTACTTGTTAATTACAAAGGAACAATAGTAACTTTATAGTATAGAAACTTGGCAGACAACATCTTACCCATGTAATTAAAGTTGATATAATGAATAATGGGACTGACTAACATCATGTGCCTCCATCGTGAGACATCAGATAAACCCACTTTAAAGGACATGTCTACAAAATTAACTAGCTTATATCTCTAGGTCAAGGCTTTTTTGTGTGTGTT